GATCATGATGAAAATGATCCTAGTCGTACCTGAGCTAGATATCCAGACCTGGCTTGTCTAATGTCAAAATGAAGAAGAGGTTCATAATGGTAGTAGGTCGCAGGATGGGACAACATTATATCACCTTATATTAATTAAAAATCATTAAGTTTTATTTAGAATTATTGATGACTAAAATTTTTCAAAACAATTAAATTATTAAATATTTGAATTGAAAATTAGTATTGATTAGAATGTTAAAGTGTAATTATGATTTATGATGATATATTATCATAAATCATAAAATTGATCATTAAAAGTCTTCATGAAGAATTAATATTAATCATTATCATTTATCATCTGGTATTTTCTTCTATTGTAAGTTTTTTTGTTTAATTTACCCAGGAAAGTTGAACCACTCCGCCATGTTGTTGTAACGAGGGCGCGAACTGGCTGTCCGCCATTAATCAGCTGATGTTCTTCCAGGCTTCGGCCATCTTCAAATTCGAAATCCGCCAAAACCTGGAAAAATCCTCGAATTAGTTAATAAATCAATCGTAAAAAGAGAGTGTTCGCAAAAAATGAAAGGGGGTATCAGTTCGATATCTTACTTATACTTGTTTTATATATTATATATATCACATATTTATCATGAGAAGAAATAGTTAAAAACGACTTGTACCAAAGATCGTAGAAGCCATGCAAATCTACAGAGTTGCATTATTTTACCCAGACCGTAGATAATTCAATTAAATTTAAAACTAATTATTACAAGTTATAATTGACGAATTCGCGTTTCGGGGATTCCAATAATTAAAATATCATAATATTTTTAAATTTTTATTATTTTTTTATTTTAGTAGCGATCGGTATTGAATTCAATTCAGGATACCCACTTTCATTTTTCGTAAACACTCCCATTAACAAAGACCTTAAAATAATATTTAAGATTAGAGTAAAACCCCAAAAATGCTCCGACCTGTTTAATTCTTGTTTTCTCGCTTTCAATAGATTCTCTCATCCAACTCGCCTCATCCAAGCTGAATAACTAAAACAACAACAAATAAGATTAATTTTGAGTTTGTTAAATTTGCATTTAAAAGGACTGAAGCCTAAAAGTTTTAGGAGTTAATCGCGACCAATATTAGTTCTAACTGATGACCCTATCTGGGGGAATTGATATAAAACTGTACCGTTCTACAAAAACTCGTATTTACGTAATATGGTCGACGGAACCACGTGACCAGATACTGCATTGCAAGATCCTGGTCACATGATCCAGGCGTAACGAGATTAAAATCTATTAAAACGAATAAGTATTCAATTCAAATTTAAATAAGAGTATATCCTAACATTTTTAGAAAACTTCTGGGTTATCCTAATGTTCATATTTCTTCCGTATTTGCAGAATATGATCTATTTAAAGCTTTGATTCATGTACCACATCACGTACATATGAGTTTTGGTATAACTGACACAGTTTTTTTTATCAAATTTTCGAGACAGGGACATCAGATAGAACTAATATAGGTCACGATCAACGCCTAAACTTTTTAGTATTCAGCCTATTCCCCCTATTATTTTGCCTTAACAGTCCTTTTAAGATAATTTTCATTGTAATATCAGAATATTTTTACCTTTAAAATAGAAATAATTCGATTTGAAAATTATAAAATTTGATAACTTTGCTTTTCCATATTTTGAAATGAAAGCAATATCTCAAAGAAGATCTTGTATTTTGGATGAAAACCTCCATTCTTTGCCAAAATAGATATTATTAGAGGTAGTTTTAAAAAACAAAAATTAATGTGATAATAAAACACTAAACAGAGATTTTGTGTGAGTGCATTTAAGCAGTGGTTTACGTTTTCTTGAACAATCATTACATCCAATTTAAATATCAGTTTTTCACGAAATCTTTTTTAAAATTATCAAGCACAAAAATAAATTCGTAACTGTCATCAATGAATTAATGAATTTTGAGAAAGAAAATGGATCAAAATTAGGTTAAATGCTTGTCCGTTAGCTTCTAAATTTTAGTTATCCCCCTTAGCTATGAAAATGTAAACCCCTGCATTTTTTAATCTCCATGTCTTTGCAACCCCATGAAGACTTTAAGCATCAATTAAATAGCATTAATATTAAATGTTTACACCATCGGGTTGCAAAGGTATAGAGGTAAGAACATTTGAGTGTATGGCAAGAACTCGGTTTCAGAAAAAACAATTAGTGGAATTTTGGATACATTTCTTGAATAAAAACTTATTGTACAGAATGGTTCTGAATGGCTCCTGACGTCCACTTCATGTTTATTTCTAGAAATTGTTAATGTTTATAATTGTATATTTATATATTTACATATTTACAAAAAAAACCTTGAATAAAAAAATGTTGTACCTGGAGATTTTCAGATTTTGGGGAAAAAGTTTTAGGAGGAAGTGGTTCAATGTTATGGATGTGTCTTCAGAATTCAAACTTTCAATAGATGGAGGGACAATGGGAGAGGGAATAAGGTTCTAAAATATTGACTCAAAAAAAAAAGCAGGCCTAAAAGGTTTTCAAAAGGCTGCAAGCTCTCTTTAAATGAAATTTATTAGAATTTTGCCAATTACTTCAAAAAAAAACTAAAAACAAGCACTTTAAATTTCTGAAATGTATATGTCTATAAGCATAAGTGAGTTAATGAAATAAAATCAAAGGCCTAAGGTCAGGATCTCTGTGAATGGAGGAATATTTGGGACAAATTTTTGAAGGGAAAAATAATTTTTTTTCTCCCCCCCCCCCCTCCTTTCTGAAAACATTTTTCCTGCTGAATAAATAAGTGCTTGTGCAGTTTATTTGCTGAATTTAGGAAAATAAATGATTTTTAGTAGAGAATGAATACATTTTTGAGTAAAAAGTGTCAAAAATAAATGAATTTTAAGTGAAAATCGATGCTTTTTTTTGGAACTGAAGAATGGATTTATGAATAGTTAGTTTGTGCCTAGAATCTGTTTGATTTGCTAGAACAGGTCGATTAATTCTACCATGAAGACTTGGGTGCTAATCATTTGTGGATTTGTAACTTATTCTAAAAATTTTCGGGGTCACCGAGGCACTTAAACAATTGGATTTGAAACGAACTATTTGAGAATTTATGAAAACTCAAAAATAATCATAAAACTACTCAATATATTTATATATATTTTCCCACTATGGGGTTCAGGCAGCTTTAAAAACATTGTGTAAATTTCTGTTTCTGTTGCAATATTTTAAACTTAGATTATTTGATCTAACAAAATTTATAGTTTGAAATATCTAAGGTCTACAACATTGGGTTCCAAAGATATAAGAATTAAAAAATCAGAATTTGTGGCAAAAACTCAATTCTTTTCTTAAAATTGTGAAAACTTTTGCTGTCCCACCGCTTCCTTCTCCCCTTTGCGCGGACCCTCTTAAACCTAGCAGTTAATTGACCAAATGTGTAAAAATCATTAAACATCAATTTTAAAATTCTGCTTGATTGGCATTCAATGTAAACAAAACTATCATTGCATGGTACAATTCCCAGTTTCCAGAGACAATTTTTATATATATATTCATTTGCATCATTCCTCCCCCTCCCCTTCTTGAAATTTATCTTATTCCCCAGTATATAAGGAATCACTGCAACAAAGGAATTCAGTCTTGCCACAAGCTCAAAATTTGTAATTCCTTTATCTTTGCAACCTGATGGTGTAAACCTTTAATATTACAAACTGAAATAAAATGATCTTGCAGAATTGATAGATTGAAATATCTTAAGGTCCAGGATGTTGAGTTGCAAAGATATAAGGATTTTGGCAAATTAAATTTTTTTATTGAAAAAATGGAAAATAATTACTTTTACGAAATTTTTGGTAGAAACATATCAAATGGGAGAAAACTTGCCAAATGATGTTTTAACCCCAGATCATTGATTTGATAATTTTACGTTTTAATATTTGATTATATTTCATTTCTCTTTATAACAGAGATACATAGTTTAAATTATTAAAAGAAAATATTTTTTTAAGATTTTCTATTCACACTGTGCAATGTGCATATAACCAAAAAACAAAAACATCTTGTTTGACGATGGAAAAAAAACCTTTGAGTGCAATGATTTATATAAAGCACTCCATCAAAGCTAACTTAAAAAAAAACATAATATCTAATTTTTTCAGCAGTCTTTGGAAGTTTTAAGTGCATAGATTTTTTAGTTCACATACCAGTACCAAACGGGAAAAATAAAATAAATAATTTAAACAATTTTTTTTAAATCTAATAAAAAGATTCAAGCCACAAAGACCTGAGAGTCCACGAGCATTGAAGGTTGGGAAAGATGGTTCTAACATGCAAAAAATAAAAATAATTTAACAAAAAATAATTTAAATATTTATGCACTGTTTGAAATTATGAACAGAACTATAAGGAAAAACTAAAAAAAATAATATTCCTAGCTCTTCGCAATTTTGAACAAATATTTGCAATTTTGAACAAAACGTTCGTAATTTTGAACAAAATGTTCGTAATTTTGAACAAAGCGTTCGTAATTTTGAACAAAATGTTCGTAGTTTTGAACAAAATGTTCGTAATTTTAAACAAATGTTCGTAATTTTAAACAAAATGTTCGTAATTTTGAACAAAATGTTCGTAATTTTAAACAAATGTTAGTAATTTTGAACAAAATGTTCGTAATTTAAAACAAAATGTTCGTAATTTTGAACAAAATGTCCATAATTTTGAACAAAGTGTTCGTAGTTTTGAACAAAGTGCTCGTAATTTTGAACAAATGTTCGTAATTTTGAACAAAATGTTCGTAATTTTAAACAAATGTTAGTAATTTTGAACAAAATGTTCGTAATTTTGAACAAATTGTTCGTAATTTTAAACAAAATATTCGTAATTTTGAAAAAATGTTCGTAATGAATAAAATGTTCGTAATTTTGAACATAAAGCGTACATCTAAATACAACAGTACCCTGACCAGATTTGTCTGGTCCAGTTTAAATTAGATATCCGCGTTTTTGTTTTTGTTTTAAACTGTTTATTATCATTTGTAATTTCTCTGAGAAAGTGCCTTGAGGATTTCTTGCTTGGAAAAAATATAAAAAATAAACAAATTTCGGGTCAGTAAAACGAAGTTATCTTCCACATTTCTTAGCAGAATAGGGTTTGAGGGTACCGTTGTAAATCGGACATTGCTATCTTTGCATGGAGGGTCACTTGAAATTACGCTGACAGAATCCACGAACCTTTAACCATGATTCCATCTTATTTTAATCTTCTTAAAAATTATTGAAAATTAATAAACTAATTATTGCATAATATATCACTAATGCCATCGCCTATTTTTGAGAATATGTTTGAAGCAGAATAAATATAAATGAAAACATATCTGTCATCTCTCAAAACTAAAATTATACTTTTTTAAAACTTTATTCAGCTATTTTTCCGAGATGACAGTTAAAAATGATAAACGTTAATATAAAGGAATTGAGTTTTTGTCACAAAATAAAGTTGTTTTATTAAATGAATTTNAAATGAAATAAATAAATAAATTTATACAGAAAAATTGAAGAAAAAAAATAAAAAAAGGTTAGAAAATTTTAAAAAATAAAAAAAATAAAAAAACGAAAAAAAAAAATAAAAAATAGAAAGTCAAAGATACCGGTTTTCCATATTTATCGAGTCCTCGGCTGATCAAGAGAAGAGTAAAGATGAAACTTCCAGCTGAAAAAGAGAGTGTTAAAAAATTTAATTCTTTAAATAAATGTTCATAAATTTTATCTTAAAACTAAGTATTCGCTAATTATATTCTTAAAGGAAGTGTTCATGAATTATATATTTAAAGGAAGTGTTCATGAATTATATACTTAAGGGAGTGTTCATGAATTATATATTTAAAGGGAATGATCATGAATTATATATTTAAAGACAGTGTTCATGGAATGAAATATATATATTTCAAATTTAGATTTCATAGTTTGAAATGTCGAAGATTTACTTCCTTAAAGTTGCAAATTTAAAAGGGATTGGTAAATTTTAAGTTCTAAGCAAAGACTTCAGAGACTACATAGCAAAATGTAGTCGTTTTATTCCAAATTAAATCTCAGATCATCATGTTTATGGTTAAGGTAACCCCTGAAAGGGAGTGACCGGCAATGTTTGGTGGTTGAACTGAGTATGCAGTATTGTAAAAGAAAATTTAGGATTCATTCAAAACATGATGTATAATTACTGAGTTGGAGCGCAAAGTGACATTCAAAATCATGAATTTGAGTAGGTACGTTTTCAGAATCGGATTTTTTAAATAACACTACAAAAAATAAAGTAAAAATTATAGTTGTTTAGGAACATATTTCTCAAAAGAAATCAATAAATCAATGTTAGATTTAATTATTTTGTTTTCATTATTATATTGAATTTCTTAATTTCTATGAATTTATTCGCAATTTTTACAAATTCTTCAAATGTCGTCTTTTCAATACAAATTCCAGAAAATCTTAGTGAATAATGAGAGATTATAGATACTAATAAATGAATAAGATTACATATTTTCGATGATAACCGTTAATTTTTATTTTCTGAACCTGTTTCTAAACAACTAATTAGTTTACTGTAGAATTTTTGTTATTTTTTTTGTCGCCGTTATTAAATAATTTTAAAAAAACGATTCTGAAAAAGTACCCACCCAAATTTATGATTTTAAACGTTGACTTTGCGCTCAAACTCAGTAAATTTACGTCGTAGAAACGTTTTGTAGGTTAGTCTACCGTTTACATATTGTCTTAATCATATTTGTATTCCACCTTATACTAGAGACCACTCACCAATCAGAATATAGAGCCAGGAACTCACGTCGCGTGAAATCAACATTTTTGCAAATTTTCAAAAAAGTTTTCTTCGTTTTTTCACCATTTTCTTCAGAGCAACCTTATCATGTTCAAAGGTCTATCTGAAACTACAAAAAGTAGAAACATAAAAAATACACCTTCAGGTTTAGCAGGCTGAGCGCTGCGGCTAGGGTAAGTTTGACTCATACTCAGTTAGATATAAAAAATGGCAATGGTGACATTTAGCCAGTGCTTCTTAAGGCAAAAATAATTCATTTTTGGAATTTTACCAACCAGAGATTTAAGAACAAATATTTTTTATTGGTTTTCAAGATCTCCAATTGCTGCAAATAATATTCCCTTATTATGAATACCTTACTTCTCAAACTTTAAACAAGCGTTAAATGGAGTGACCGGCAATGTATGGTGGTTGAACTGAATATGTAGTATTGTGGACAATTTTTTTAGGATTCATTTGAGACATATATAACGCACACCTAATCTATATTAAAGCACCACCCCGAACTAACGAGAGAGAGAAGCATTCGGTTTCTTTTATTTGAAATCAAACGTGTTTTCGACTATTACTCAACAGTCTTTTGACTTAAAGATTTGTTTGTTTTGTACTTTTTCATTCAAAATGTATATGCCAACAAAAAAGTAATCAAGATAAAAAGCTATAAAATTATGTAAAAGGGGTCAAATTGTGATCGAAAGTCACAGTTTTCTGAAATATTGACAGAACCGTTAAATCCTCGTGGCACTAGACTTGAGGATTCCAAAATGCTATGGCTTGACCACAGATCATTCAGACATATGCTTGTTTTTAAAGCTTAAAATTTATTTTTTTCAATTGTGGTTTCTCTATAAACATGACTTGCAACCGGGAAAAGATGCAATTGTCAGATTTCATAACGTTTAAAGATAGATTCATAATCGATAAACGGTTAAAGGTTTCAAAGATATAGGAATTAATAAAAAATGAGTTTGTGACAAAAACTCATTTCCTTTGCATAACTTTATGGAATTAAAAAAAAGGAACTGTGTTTTTGCTACAAACTTTGATTTATATACCATTAGAGACATAGCAAAAAGACAATAAACNTGAGATTTCTGTCTGATTTTTTACAGTTAGGTCTTAATCATGATCTAATTTTTCAAATAAAAACCAAAAAGGGAAAAAAGTTCCCCCCCCCCTTAATTTTTCCCATAGACGATAAAAAAATAATGAAGCACACCAAAAGGTTGAATTTTCACTTAGTTCGCAATTCGCATATGCTTTACGATTTCTGACTATTTATAAAAAAGATTACAAATCTCTCACAGCTCACATAAATTTGATTTTTTATACCCTGAAAATCTATATATCAATTATTCAAAAATTATTCAAATTATAACATGTGCTTGCAATCTATACTTAAATTGTGGTTTACAAAAGATAAAGTCCAATAAAAGATATTTCTTTTTTTTGAACTTTGAAATATTTTGAAATGTGACCCCCCACTTTATAAATTTGCAAAGTTAATTTCGAAATACAAAATGTAAAAATGTACAAAATGTACAAATGTATAAAATGTACAAATGTATAAAATGTACAAAATGTACAAATGTATAAAATGTACAAAATGTACAAAATGTTCGCCTATTTAAACTTTAAAGACTTCTTTAAATATAGTGAAAGTTTGCCGGCATTTTATTTTAACAGAGAAAATTTGAATGGAAAACTGGGGGACGACCCCCCCTCCCCTGGAAAATTTTTTCTCTCTTTCAAACTTTTTATTGAAACAATAAAGGTACAGATCTGAGAAAATTGTGTAATAATGATAAAAAAAACACACGAATATTCATTTATATATATATATACAAAGATGTTTCTCGCAAATTACTCTCTAATTTAAGGTATGGAATTTAAACTAGTAAAGACTTAACAACTCTGAGATCTGGAATAAGATCTTACATTAAATGAAAAAGGACCTCTCTTTTTGAATATAATAGAAAATAGAAAAAGAATTCTCGTCTAGGGTAAAAAAAATTAAAAATTAGGAACTCAAAATAGGAAAGCAGGCACCATCTGAGTGACTCTTTAATTTTGATTTTTAAGAATAGATGATCAAAAAAAAATTTCGTGCGGCGCCACTTTTACACAATTTACTCGAAATCCCTTTTTATGTTTTATACTTAATTATTTTGTTTTCATTATTATATTGAATTTCTTATTCTTTATGAATTTGTTCGCAGATTTCTACAAATTCTTCCAATGTCGTCTTTTCAATAAA